ATTACTGTTTCAATAGCTTGCTCCTTAGAAAAATGTTTTAAAAAAATTCTTGGTTCGTTTTGCCTTGAAGTTTTCATTAATTCAATATCGTCGCCAAACTTAGCTTCAACTTTTTTAACCAAAAGTAGGCGCTTGAATCTACTTCTCCGCTAATTTCGCGATATCTTTTACATACTTACTGATGTTGTGGAATAACCTCCTTTTTAGAAACCCTTCTCCAATTCACTAAATAACTGTTGCAGTGCTTCGTTTCCAAAATCGAATTGTTTTTTACCTACCTACACTCTTCATTAATCATTTCTTTAAGTTTATCTATTATTTCACGTGATTCTGATTCTATAGAAAAGCATGATGCATGATATTTAATTTCAGATGCGATTAAATGTTCGCCCATTCTGGAGTGAAATATTGAATTGTTTTTGGCAAAATACGCATTTTTGAATGTCGAATGGAATTATTGTTCGTTATGGCCGTTTTTGAGTTGTATTCGGCAGAAGAACACCGGGACTAATTTTCGAGTATTTTGCTTTGTAGGAAGTGATATTTTTGGAACTGGGCATACGTTTTGTAGCAGTTTTTATGCGATTGAAAATAATCTTGTTCTTTTATGTCAACAAAGCTACAAAGCTCAAAAAAATATGCATGGAACTAGCATCCTTGCCTTCACATAGGTAGGTATATCCATGCGGATTTTTGTAGATTGAATAAACTTTTACTTGGATATTTTGTTTTGATGTTAATAACGTTCCGCATTTTTGACAAATTACATATAATTGAAAATTTGAAACTTTCGCCTTGCTTTTTTGCAGCTACTTTCGTAAAGGATTTTTGATGGTCGACTCAACTTCACTATCGGTATACTGGTACTGCATTCAAGGTAATCTATAAAAAAACATTTAAATAAAAACATAATATTATTAAACTCTTCTACCCCAAAATTTATATCATAGTTAAAAGCCACACAAACTATTAGTGAAACAGAAAAAAAAGCAATCAGGGTTAAAACCTATTCAAGTTCACCATAAACTAAAACAGAACTGTCAATAATTGGTACTAAGACACTTTAAAATTCGGTGTTTGCCTGCCTCGGCTACGCCTCGCCCGTCAACTTACACCGTTGGCCGAGAATGTGTCACTTTTCCACCTAAATACATAATATACTATTCTAGGACAAGCGTTTATTCGTTAAGGAACTCCATAAGAACGCAAAATGAAGGTTGTTTTATAAATTGAAAAAAAATAATTGCTAATAAAAATATTGAAATTTGATTTTGTCAGCTTAATGGCCGTATGTGTTAGATGTAAAAATCATTAAAAAAAAATTTGGGCTTTATTTGCAAAATTCACCCTACCACTTCCTGGACCGTACGATTTTTGGACGACATGTTGATTTTGCATTGTTAGGGTATTAGAAATCATAAAAAGAAGTCCTTAAATTTTAGCAATAAAGTGCAAACGAAAATCTCTTTTAAGCGACTTCTGCGAGCATTTAAATTCTACATCCCCTTTTAACTTAAAAGCGCTTTTAAGTTAAAAGAGGATGTTGCATACAGCTGATAATGTTTTTTGTCACAATAAGGATTTGTTGATTATACAGGGTTTCCTAGCCAATAGCTAATATCCTCGAAACTAAAATAGTATATTATGCAATGATCATGTAATGCCATTAATACGGTATTAATGGCCATTACATTACATGAGAGTTGCATGCACTATTTTTTCTACTGCCATTGATAGAACTTATGATATTTAGATATGTCAACATTATGCTTAACTATGAATAGAGATTTTATAATTGACAAATCCATACAGTTGTAGGTTTCATTTTGTGTTGTAATTCTTCAAAATATACTATTAGAACATTTTCTGAGAAGGACGTTGTGTTTTTGGTGTTTCTCCAATCCATAAATTGTCCATATAATTTTTCGTAAATTTTCTTGGACTTGTCCGGTAGTATATTATTATCTGCATTTGTCGCCCTTTATGTAATTTCTGGAGGTGTTAGTAGTGAAAATTCTTCGTTATGACTCAATATTTCCATAATAATGCCTCATCCCAAACTTTGGGTAACTTTTAATAACAATTTCATAGAACAATTTGAAGTATTTTTTTTTATAAAATTATTCTTTTTCGCTAAATTACCATGGAAAAACTATAAACAGAGTGCCGTCAACATTAAAAAAAAAAAAATCATAATTTCTTAACTGGTTTAGCTATACTATTGACATCTATTGACAATGTATAATAATGAAAAAAGTAAAAATTCTTCCTCATCATTCATTATTTCCATAATAATTATTCTTTGTCCCAAACTTTAGATAACTTTTAAACAATTCGAAGTCTTTTTTATAGTTATCAAAATAATTGTTTTACGCAAAATTACCGTTTAAAATGTTTAATATCTTAACTGGTGGTGCCATCTATGGACATTGTATAATATTAAAAATCTGTATTATAATGAAAATCTGTATCATATTGAAGTTCATTATGATACAGATTTTAATCGTTCAATAGCGTATTATGAAATGTCAGTAGAAAAAAGATAAAGGGATGCGGTTTGCATCATTGTTTTTCATTACCCATATAATTTTTAGTCCGTTATATAAATAATTTTAGCATTATACCTAGCGATAATAATAGTATATAGGGTGTCAATTTGAAAACTTCCCACCCCTATTATCTCGGAGTATTAAAATTTTCGAAAAAATCCCTAAAACACGTCAACTATAATTTGAAGAGAGATGAGTTTTTATGCAAAAGTCACCTTCCCTCTTTCAACACCCCAGCCCCCGAGCCACCCCCTAGAAAATTTTAAATGGGGAGGAGGGTCAAGTGATACATCATTTTGCAGGGTTTTTAATTCCATACATTTTGGTACTAAATTTTAATCCCCAAGTTTAACTGTTCTGAAAATATTAACAGTTGAAAATTGACTTTTTTGCTACTTTGACAGGCTGTAAAACTTAAACAGTTATTTTTAGAGGAAAACCGATCTTACATTCTTGTCTTAGATTTTCATAAACTATCATTTGACACCATTTTTTAATTTAACCGGAGATTAAATTTCTAACCGAAATTTTTGATCATGGATTAAATTAAAAGTTGCTGTCAAATGATAGTTTATAAAAATCTAAGACAAGGATTTAAAATCGATTTTCCTCTAAAATTAACCGTTTAGGTTTTACAGCCTGTCAAAATAGCAAAAAAGTCAATTTTCAATTGTCAATATTTCCAAAACAGTTGAACTTAGGGATTAAAATTTTGTACCAAAATGTATGGAATTAAAAACCCTCCAAAATGATGTATCACTTGACCCCCCTTCCCATTTAAAATTTTCTAGTGGGTGGCTCTAGGGGCTGGGGGGTTGAAAGAGGGAAGGTGAATTTTGCATAAAAACTCATCACCCTTCAAATTAAAGTTAACGAGTTTCAGGGATTTTTTCGAAAATTTTTCTACTCCAAGATAATAGGGGTGGGAACTTCTCAAATTGACACCCGTATTACGATATAAGTGTATAAGAAGACCTTTATAGCACGCGCGACATATTTCAAAACACGATGCGCAGCGAAGTGTTTTGTAAGTCGCAAGGGTTTTAAAGGCCCTCTTATACACGCATATCATACGCTATTTTTTATCACAAATTCATCATTATCTCAAATATGTTTTAAATCTGTTCAATTTATTTTGATAATAAGTAATTTAAACGGCAGGTAAACGTCTAGGTAATAAAGGTAAATCAAACGTTTGTATAGCAAACCTTTGAAAAGGTAGGCGCATCATAAACATCATTTTATGCAGCTGCAGAGTGCGATAATCGTTGATTATGATGCACGCATAATAAAAAAAACAAACAAACAAACACCAGCCTTCCTATTGGTTGAAACGCCCTACCTGGACTCTGGACTAATGCTGCGTATGCACGGAGGACATTTGATAGGTTGTAATGAAAATGACCAGTTTGTCATTTACTGCCGCTTAGATTTGATTCAACCAGGCCCCATTATAGGAGATCGGGGTTCTCTGTCCTAAGTTTTTCCCAATTTTCTTTTTTTGATTTTTCTGAACTAATTGGAACTTGGATATCGTTGACGCTGATTCCTACCCTATTCTATTTACATGTATTGTTTTCTATAAATTCATAAAAGACACTAATATGGAGAGCCCGGAGCCTTATTCTGTAACTTGCGACCGAGAGAATTGCGCAATTGTCGCTGTCCAGTAGTCCAGTCGCTGTCAAACGCGAGTTTTCTATTCAAAAAATGCAAACTTGCAACCGGTTGCTGGTTGCTATGTAGTTGCTATTCGTAGAGAATAACCCTGCCGTATTGGCACAAAATTATATAGGCTAACAAAAAAAGCATTGTTCAGATAATCCCTACATCCCTAAGATAGGAACCTACCCAGGCAGTATTTTTGTACCTCACCTGGTAAAATGAATTGTACCTATAATTTTTTTTGTTTAGGAACACGTCTCTCCAGAGAACAAAAATGATAAAAAAACAATAAATCAGTTTAGCGAAGAAAACAATATGAATTCAAATTTCGATTGTATTAATATGAACATATTATTCACTATTGTTACTATCCACTTAAATCAACAATAGGATTCATTTTGTTAGCGGAATGCAACATAATAAATTATATTGAATTTTGTATATCTACAGTTTTGGATACAAGACAAAAAACAATTCACAGATGACGGAAGTGTGTGCAATTTGGTTAACTACCCTTAGATTTTGGTGCAATGGCTGCGTCATTTCTTTTTAAAAGCTCAATAAAGTTTCCAAAAAAAACAATGCGTCACCAGATTTCTTGTTAATCAACTATATTTCTCAAAAGACAAATAAACAAAAGCCTTTTCATTTTCATTTATATTTAATAAAATTATATTATCCAGCAAGTTTATCATGGGCTTTCTCTGAAAGTTTAATCCCCTAATCCTTGGATTATCCACAATTATTATTAATCAACTACCAGTACCAGTTATCAAATAAGTAATTTGACAATGGCGATATAAAAGTCAGATCATAGACATTCGAAACTGTAGTTATCCGATAAAATTTTAGAAGCGTAATTAGTAGCAAATTATAACAAAATTAAATTATTAGACGAGTGATTGAAACAAAATTTACAATGCCGCCATTGGGAAGTGTTTTAGCACTCGGAATAGTAGTTTTGGCTTGTGTTAATGCTGCGCGTAAGTAAAATTGTTTTTCTACGAGTGTGCGCAAAGTAACTACTTTGCACACACTTTTACGTACCTACGCAAAGAAACCCTTTACCAAAAGTGTGCGCAAAGTTACTACTTTGCGCACACCATGCGGGAAAAAAAATTTCCCGCACACTTTTTTTTCTGGTAGGTACCCATAATAAAATCCGGGGACTCCCTATTTGGGGGGCAAAGCCCTGCGAGAGTCTCCTATCTGGGGGGCCCAGCCCCGTGGAGTCCCCTTTTTTAGGGAGCAAAACTCCGCGGAGAGGGGCCCGAAAAAGTGTTTTGGCCGATTTAGATATACCTAGTTAGTTATATCGGGTCTTCAAAAAAAAAAAACAATCAAAGATTGCTATGGTTTTTTGAACGTATGTCTTAGCACTATTTTTCTTTAATTTTGTCATTGAACTTTAATGTCAAAATGTCATGTCAAAAATCCTGACCAATAATGAAACAATAATGCGACATACGTTTTCATAACCCAAGCAATTTTTTTTTTGAAGACCCGATAGCAAGTTGTTGTTTTTGATGCCTATAAAAATTAAAAATTTAAAAGAGAAGTAGTTTTGGAAGGAGGATCACTATGGCGGTTTTCCATAGGGAGGGGAAGTAGGATATTATTTGAAAGCAGTTATTGAAGATTTTTGAGAGCATTTCCAGGTAGGTATTCATCAAGAAGGGTTTTGAGGGTTTTGTTATTGATTGCGTCAATTCCAGGAGCCTTTATGCTTTTTAGGTTGTAGATTAAAATTGCTGTAGGTCTTTTCCCTTATGTGGGGTGCGTGTGTTGAATTGGTGTTCTTCATTGTATTGTGGATTCTGATTTCGTAGACCATCGATTCGTTTGTGGTGAATTGTAGTTCCAGGGAGTCAGCAAATGCTTCTGCGTTGGCTCTGTCGTGGTACACAATGCCATGATTTGCACTGTGGATGGGCGGAATTTCTCGAATGTTGGTTTTATTTAATAGGGATTTTTGGGTTTGCCATACATTTATTAGGTGGTCTTTTTCGTTGAGACTGGAGAGGAAGCTTTCCCACTTTTCGTTTTTGTAGTTGTTTATAAGTTTGTTGATCTCCTTGGTTGTCTGGTTTCCTTGTTTATTAATTTGAGGGTCTTTTGTTAGCTTCGCTCTTCTTTTGAGTTTATTTCTGGTTTTTATTTTGTCTTTTATGTGGGCTGGGAGGAGAAAAGGATTTTTTGTTTTGATGTTGATGGTTGAAGTGGTTTCTTGCAGGACTGATTGAATGGTTTTTGTTAAGGAAAAAAGACTTTCTTCGATGCTGTTTGGGTCGATTGTTGGTTGAAAAATTGCCTTATTTTGCAGCAGCTTTTTCTTGAAATTTTGCCAGTTGCTTACGTTAATGGTATTTGGTTCTGGGTTGAGCAGGAGGTTTGTTACTTGGATGGCTATGGGGGTGTGGTTGGAGGTGGCTAGAATGTCTGGGGTGATGTGGTGAAAGTGGGTAGGTTCGACTGGAGCTAGGATTTCCAGTCCTTTGTCTATGCAGTATTCGTTCCAGGTTTTTCCTGCTGCGTTGGTGGATTTGCAACCCCATTGGACACTATTTGCCTTGAGGTCCCCTATTAATGTTGGGTATGGAGAGCTAAATAGGGTGTAGAGGTCCGTTTAATGTAATTCCTGGTGGTTTATAGGCTGAAATTATTTTTATGTCTCCTTCCTGGTGAATGACTCTAAGAGCTGTTACTTCGATCCTGGGATCGGTGTTTAGAGGGGTAATTTTTTCATGGGGTATGTTTTTTTTTTATGAGAATTGCTGTTCCTCCCCCGATTCTGTTGTCTCTGTCTTGCCTGTAGATAAATTTTGTAGTTGGCCACTTTGTATCTTGTTTGAGGTTTTAAACAGGTTGTTTGTATTAGGGCTATGTCTATCCCGTTTTCTATGAAATATTCGTTGAATCGTTGAACTCCTGTCTTTTGGGAAAGAGGGAGTTCGCAGGATGTGTTACTTTTTTGGTTGTGTTATCCATTGAGTTGAGTTAGGAAGACTTATACCAGACGATTTTGTTCTATTTTTGTGTTATATTGTGAATTTTTTGCTTCAGGTCTTGATTATTTTGTGAGAGGATATTGAGTATGGGGGTTATTGGGGCGCAATAGTTGTTGGGGCTCTTTGATGAGATATATATAATCTCATGTAGCAAATGTGCGTTATTTCAAATATATTCGCTTGTTCTTGTGGTATAAGGAGTTTTATTAGATCTGTTTCGTTATTTCTGTTCGAACTGCATTTGTACCATTGTAATTCTGATGGAGGGTAGCCAAGTTCTATTAGTTCCTTTTCAACGTCCTCCAGGGAGAATTTTTTGTTTAGTCCTTTCATGATAAGGTATATTTTTTTTTCTTCTTTGAGGAAGTAGGTATGGTATTCTACATTTTTTTCTTTTAGAAGCTTGGTGGCTGTTCTATGATCATCCCGTCATCCGTGGATTTTGGTAGTATTTGGATGCTGAGTGGATGCTTTTTTTGGATCGTCAATATTGACGTTATTATTGGCTAGTAGCTGGTGAATTTTCAGCCAGTACTTTAGATCCCTATGGGGGAACTCCTGGTTTATCAGGAGTTTCATTGGGTTTTGATGTTTTTTTAGGAATTTGATTTCTGGGTATTGAGAGTTCTGGGCTTTGGGAGAGTAGTGGGTTTTTGTGATCAGGATTTCTTAATTGGGGAAAGTGTTCCTTAGGGTTTTGAGCCGTCTGTATTTCGATCTCGGATTCATCTCCCATTTCTTCTATTTCGGTTTCTGAGTTTACTCCTGAGGAGGTGTTTGACGGGGATTTTTTTTTCCTTCTTTTCCTGGATGATGCATGTGAAGTTGAAGGAACGGGAGACTCACTTTTATTTTTTAGGGCTTCTAGTTCTTTGGCCTGATGTTCGTTGGCCGACAGTGCATATTCTAGTTTTGTCTCCATGTTTTTGACAAGTTGTACTAAGTTATAAAGTTATTGTGGTTATCTTCTAGGTTTTTAGGTTGGTTTGTTAATGTTTCTAATTCTGAGCGCCGGTTCGCTGCTTCATTAGTTAGACGTTGTTCTTTGTCCACATTTTGGGCGATGGTGCGATCGTTTTCGATGGCTTGGGATTTAAAGTGGTCAATTTCTTGGGAAAGGGTTTGGTTGGTGGAGTTAAGGGATCGGTTGAGTGCAATTGGGGATTTTGCTTTGTCATGGGTACGGAGTTTATCAGAAAGTGAGTCAACTTTACCCCTTATGCTAGCCATTTTGGGTTTGGTTTTTATCACTATAACTTTTGACATTTTTACTGAACTTTTCACTTGAGTCATTGATGTACCACGCCGAAGCGTGGTAGCTGGTGGATTTTCTTCTTGCACTTGTCTGCTGTTTGATTGGGCTTCTAATTCCCGGTTTCTGGTATCCAGCTTGACTGGATTTGGCTTCTTTGCTTTTCGGAGTCTTATAGGGCCGAATTTTTCAAAAGCTCCCTTCCCTTCTGATATTTTCTGGACGGATTGGCTTCCCACTATTCGAACACTTCTATACTTCTTGACTGCTTCGATACTGTAATGAATAATGAATACTTTCCGAGAAGAAGCTTATGTTTCATAGAGTACGTACCCTAGATATATGGTCCGCTAGGTGGGCGGTGGTGGAATCAGGGGCCGCTGATGGCCCAAAAGGGGCCAAAAACCGTAATCATGAAAAGCCATTCCGGAAGCTTGAAACTTTGATGACAGATAATAGTTTTATGGTGATTTACGAAAACAATCGTCCGCTGCTTGCATGTCGGTAGAAAAGTCGTCCGCTGGTGGGACCAAGAAAGATAAGATAGGTACCGAGCTTAAACGCGTTACGTTACAAGGTACCATCGGACGACTTTTCCACCGACATAGAGGAAGCGGACGATTGTTCTCCTCGGTAATTGCACTATGAATTCAAGTACCTATCAAAATATGAAGCTTTGGAAAATCGTTTCCGACAATCTATCCACAAAAGTACATGCGTGTAAAACTAGAGAGGTTGAATCATAATTTATAACTCTATTAAAATCCCAATAAATTATTGTTTCTACCATGTAAATATTATATTGAGTCAGTAGTATTCTATGAATTTATTAAATTTTAGCGATCCATGAGAAATTAAATTCAAATATATTTAGAAAAATATTTAAAAAATACAAATGTATCGTGAGAATTCAAAAATTAATAGTGATCAATTAGACTTTAATTATTTTCTCAGACTCATCACTACTATCTTTATCCTCAGTAAGAGAGCGTCATCCACTTCATCAATGCCTAGAAAGATTAATAATAATAATTAATGATTGTATAAAAAGCGATAAATATCAAATACCTATCTAAATATTATAATTGCATGAAAAGCACAAATAATATGAATAAGTACCTTCAGTATTTGCTTCTTCTTGTGAATCTTGAGTGATCATATCTACTAATGATGGTAACTGATCGCCCTCGAACCATTTACATACATATTTTCCTTCTTCAAACTGCCAACCATATTCAATTGGATCTAAATTTGAAGGGTCTTTTTTATAGGCGTTGATCCAAATATAAGGTATACAGGTCTGGCAAGTGAACATCTTACATACCAATTTTAATGCAATAGACTGAAATATATAGGAAAAGCCTAAGGTTAAATAGAGAACGAAAAGAATTTCCCCTGTTCCACCTCCAGCATGCAGCGCTGAGAACGCTGGAGGTGGAACAGGGGAAATTTTTTCCATTCACTAATCAACCTTAGACTTTTTCTAGACATTTTATTCTATTGCATTGAAATTTGTGAAGATAAGATGTTCACTTGCCAGACCGGTATGTATAAATTGTCCTGAGAAGGAGTTGGAATAATCCCGATTTTGACGGCGGTAAAAGTGAGGTTCGACATGAATCTTATTTTCATCATCGTTAACTTTATCAATCGATTTGAATATCTTTTTAAAAAAATTGAAAATGCAACTAAACTGTTGGACACTTGAACTTACACATACAGATTTTAAAGCAAAACTGAATTTTATCGCCCCGTATATCATAACCCTATGGTCCTATGAGAAATTTACATCAAGCTTTATCCGCGAAAAACAAGCTATTAAAATCCACAAACCGCGTTAAAAACAACTTTATTCGTATCGAAAATATGGAATTTTAATTTGGTCTAAAAATCTGTATATGTGAAAGTTCGAGTGTCCAGCAGTTTAGTTGATTTACCTTGGGAAAGTATTTGTATTAATAAAATCACTACTAAACGATGCCTAAACATGTCTCAACTAATTAAAAATAATCTAATTTTCAGCTTCACCGTCAGTTCGTTCGGCTTCTAAGGTCGACTGTAGTAAAGCCGAGAATCAAGTGAATCTTCACCCCCATCCAACTGATTGCACCAAGTATTTGCAATGTGTCCACGGAAGCCCCATGGAAAGACCTTGTGCTCCAGGTACTGAATTCAGTGCATCTATTGGAGTTTGTGTACATGCCGGGCAATCTGGTTGTACTGCTGGAAAGGAACCAGAGTCTGAAGAAGAACTTGAGCCAGAGTCTAAGGAAAAACCTGAGCCTGAGTCTGAAGAAAAACCTGAGCCAGAGTCTGAAGAAAAACCTGAGCCAGAGTCTGAAGAAAAGCCTGAGCCACAGTCTGAAGAAAAACCTGAGCCAGAGTCTGAGGAAAAACCTGAGCCAGAGTCTGAAGAAAAACCTGAGCCACACTCTGAAGAAAAACCTGAGCCAGAGTCTGAAGACAAACCTGAGCCCGAGTCTGAGGAGAAACCTGAGCCAGAGTCTGAAGAAAAACCTGAGCCACAATCTGAAGAAAAACCTGAACCAGAGTCTGAAGACAAAGCTGAGCCCGAGTCTGAGGAGAAACCTGAGCCACAGTCTGAAGAAAAACCTGAGCCACAGTCTGAAGAAAAACCTGAGCCACAGTCTGAAGAAAAACCTGAGCCTGAATCTGAAGAAAAACCTCAGCCAGATGCTGAAGAAAAACCTACTCCGGAGCCTGAAGTGAAACCCGAGCCAGAATCTGACGAGAAACCTGAACCAGAGTCAGAGGAAAACAAACCTAAGCCAGATGCAGAGGGAAAACCTGAGTCTGGAGAAACACCTGCACCAGAGGCTGAGGAGAAACCTGAGCCAGAGCCTGAAGGAAGACCTGAGCCAGAGCCTGAAAAAAAACCTGAGCCAGATGCCGAAGAAACACCTGTGCCAGAGCCGGAGACGAAGCCTGAACCAGAAATTGAAATACCTTCTACAACCGAAAATCCAGAAGAGCCATCAAAACTCCCACAAAAACCCACAACTCCTTCTGAGCTTACCACTGAACCATCAGAAGAATCTACAACTAAACCTTCATCATCTGAATCTCCAACAACTGAACTTTCCGAAGAACCATCACCACCAGGTACCTACTAATATTTTCCTATAAGACTCTTGATGAAATTTGTTAGAACAAATCTGTAAAGAATCACTTTTATTTCGATCTAGAAATCCCCGATGTCACAACGGAAGGTCCAGAAGAAGTCGCAACTGATCAACCAGAACCTACACCGGAACCAGTGAGTATATAATCAAATAATACAGGGTGTTTGGTACATCGATAGGAAGTTTTCAATGAGTGATAGTTGGGGTTATTTGGGAACTTTTTGACTACATTTACCCTTATGCAAAGTTTCGTCGTTTTTGAGATGTCCGCATTTTCAGATATTCTTGGGAAATATATGAATTGTTCCTAAGACATATTGTTTTTTTGGTAGTAACCACTTTAACCTTTCTCATTTTTTTTCCGATGTTTCTAATATGCACTCTTTCGGAAAAATATGGAAAGAAAAACCGAATGATTGATACAAAAAATATGGAACCCAAGTTATGTGTTGAAATAAATACATGGATTTGAAATATCTAAAAATGGCGATATCTCAAAAAACGGCGAAACTTTGCATGAGGGTAAATATGGTCAAACAGCTTCCAAATGATACCAACTATCACTCATTGAAATCTTCCTATCGATGTACCAAACACCCTGTATAATAGCTAGTGACTTTAATAAGAGCAGAAAATACACTTTTCTTTGATGAATAAATAATATTGTTCATATTTTTAAGGTACCACCAAAACCTGAAGAAGGCGAGCAAGGAGACTCTGGATTAGATACAACTACTGAAGAACCCGAAGGTTCAGGTTCGAGTGCAACTCCAAATTCTGAAGAAGGTGGACATGAAGTTCCTGGATCAAGTTCAAATCCCGATGAATCGGAAGGTTCAACTTCAAGTGTACCTCCAAGACCTGAAGAAGAAATACAAGAAGATTCGGAATCAGGTTCAAATCCCGGCGAGTCGGAGGGTTCAAGTTCAAATGTACCTCCAAAACCTGAAGAAGGACAAGAAGCTTCTGGAGCTGATTCGAATCCCAGTGAGTCGGGAAATACAAGTACGAGTGCACCTGCCAAACCTGAAGAAGACGGACAAGGAGAATCTGAAGCTGATTCTAGTCCCGGTGAACATGATTCAGAAGAACACAAGAAGCCAAGTCCGGAAGAGGTTTGCCAAATTCACACAGACAGGTAATTTTTTTATCGATTCTTTATATACTTACTACTATGCCTTTTCAAGAAGTGTTAGAAATCGAATTTGGGATCCACTAATAGATTTTTTTTTCTACAGGTTCTTTGTTGCGGCACACCCAGGTCAATGTAACAGGTTCGTGATTTGCAGCTTCGGTACAGCCCACCTTGCAGAATGTCGACAGGGAGAATATTTCAATCCTGTTATCAATACTTGCTCCCCAGATAAGTCCCACTGCAGCCCATAAGTAGGATGTAGGGAAAGATGAGGCTCAACCAGTTATCGAAAAAATTTATTTTGGCGTCATTTTATGTTATGTACCTACTTCATCTTTCTTAGGGATCTGATTATATAACTATGAACTTCTAATTATTAAATTTGTTGTTCTATTCATGTAACAGGCTAAAAATTAAACATCTTTTGTTCTTTAATCGTTTTTTTTTTTCAATTGTATTAAGATCTTTTACTCATCCCTTCAATGAACATACATAAATTGAATGCCATAGAAAAATATGAGGCTATAGAGCACTAAGCAAATAGTTATAGAAATGGGACATACAACATTTTATTTTCGAGCGTCTGCAATATTTCCTTTCATAACTCAATCCCTACCTGTGATACCTTCTTTTTCATCCATTTTCGGAATAATTAATAAAAGGCTTCCACGATTATTAACGACGTAAAGTTAATCGATTTTAATCTGATACTCCATAGGCACGGGCGCCGATTATAGCTCTGTTCCAACCGACATGAGAACCGCTCTAGAACGGTAATTTCCAGTTTTCAAAAAAATATTGAAGTTTTTTTTTCACCGGTTCTAAATGTTTTTTTGGGGTGCTGAATCCGAATCTGCCAAGTCGCCAGACGTCGGCTCCACACGAGAAATTGCAAAAAACCTTAAATTTTCGGCACTTCTTTCAGGTTTTCGGGGATAATACCACGAGAGCTTCAAAATTACCGATAATTTTTCACGATTGCGTGTTTTCTATAATTTCACGAGTCCGTAGGACGAGTGAAATTTGTAGAGAAAACACGCATGAGTGAAAAATTATCTGGTTCATTTTAAAGCTCAAGTGATATTTAGAGGATTATTTCACGTATGAGAATGCTAAAAATATGGAAATAATTATGTATTAAACGATTTGAACATCTTAAATCAATACAAATAAATGGTTGCTATCAGAAACCGTTTGTTTGTATCAAAAATTAGCATGACAACCATGTATACAATAACATGGGAGAATTATCGCTGTAATTCTCTCTAGTTAAACAAATGGAAAAAAGAATTTTCGCTGTAATTCTGAAAATCGTCACTTGTCTTATGGGATTTATAACACATGAGTGGAATAATCAACTATAACTCGAAAACTAATCGTTTTTTAATGATAACTATAATATTAAAGCAAATTGAAGTAGACAAAAAATATCCTACTAGTACCAACGTATAATAACGCTAAAGTTTCGACAATCCGCAACGTCGTTAGATCGTGTTGAAGAAATTGCATTTTTTGATTTTCCTTAAAAAAATTTGAAAACGTTATTCCAACTAAGGTTTTGATAAAAGGAAACATATTTGGAACAAATTGGCATTTAAACAAGAATAGTTATTTATATAACAAGGCCGCGAAATGCCTTTTTAGCATACGTAGAGAAAAGTTATCGCCGAGGCCGCTTTAGGAGGTAAGATAATCTCGAGGACGCTAAAAAGTTTCGCGGTCATGGTATACCTACCTACACACTATTTTTTGTGCAACTATAAAAATTATGTAAAGTTACAGAAAAACTGTATAAATTTCACAAGGATTTGACACATTTTGCACGTCAGGTGGTCGGGAAGTTGAATTTCGCGGCATGTGTCACGGAATGTGTAGCGGCCGCGAAAGCTGTCACAGACGGTTGCACAAAAAACGCCATTATTTAATGATTTTCATATTCATTATTCTTTCCTCGCTTCCACATCTGCAGACTTTGGATAACCATATTATAATCAATGTCGTTCATATTCACTATGGACCAAATTTGTGAATACCTGCAAAGGCTCATGAAAAAAGGTGCTCGAACATAGAAATACTGCTCAGTGATGACGATCAAGACGTTTCGCCTGAGAAGATCCAAGGTAATTTATACTACAGGGTGTCCCAGCCGATAGTGACCTATTTCAAATGCTTATAACTTTCAAACTAGGTGTGCGAGCTACCTGCGGTTTGCGCCATTTGATTTCTTCTGACCTAAGGCGGTGCCCACCGAAATAGCGTGGCTTATGATGTGGCGTGTGATCTAGCAAGTAGCACACATCTAGCATGCTACATCAAATCAAGCGAACATAAGCAACTGATTTCGAAGAAGCTGCCGCGATTGAACAGCAAACACAACTGCAAATAAACAGTACTGCTTGGCATGATTTCAGACGATACCGGTTTGCAGCGTCCAATTTTAAGATGATCTGTCACCGAAGGGCTTTCAATGATTATACAACTCACTCACTCATTATTCCCATATGACACGAGAGGCTTAACAAGTGATAAGCCTTTTGGGATTATCGCGCTTGTTGGCAAGAGATGAAACAAAACTTTTTCTATAATAGAATTTGCTATAAATATTGCCACCAAGCGCGATAATCCCAAAAGGCACTTATTAAGCCTCTCGTGTCATATGGGAATAATGTACAGCGTAATAAAGTTTAGTTCGTTGTATAACCTTTTGAATACCACTCGATGTTTCTCAACGCGTTTCTGCGTAACGCGTTTCGTGACAGGTAAAAGTATTATCCGGTAATCCTGAAACCTCTTGTGGTATTACATTCGAAAACTTTACAGAAGTGTTCACGAAATCTACTGATCTGTCGCATGTTCGGAGCATCAGACACGGCCTTACGTATGAGAGCACTCTGTGATCGCTCATTAGCTGGCAGCAAAGAAAAATGTGCAATGGTTTGAGTTCGGCCTAGTAATACATCTTTACGCAGTCCATTTTGGCAGAAGCTCCGATGGAATAATTTATTGGGAAGGGCATGGATATGGTTCATTGGGAGTAAAATGTCCGTGTACTACGAAAGCGCAAAGCTTGAAAGAAGCCTGCGAGTTACCAGATTTCTGTTTAGGGCTCAAAAATGCCGAGTAGATACATGCTGAAGACATCCCATAAGTACTACTATCAGGTGCAAGGACAGATTTTGTTATCTGGCCTAAGTTGGTGTGATTTTGTGGTTTTTATGGAAAAATTAAGCGAATTAGTCGTCCTATAAATAAACCCGTTAATGTAGACTTTTGTCAAAATATTTATTTAAAATTAACAAGTGTATACAAAATGTATTTGTCTGAATTGCCTTGATATATTTCTTCTTCTGTTTCCTGATTCTCCTTAACTCAGACGCAACCTGGATCGAGAAGTTGTCAAAATGCAACAGATTGAAAAAATCGGTTCCATGCTAGGCACCTTGCATCAATTTTTCTGGTTTCGTTTATCAATGAAAAATAAGTCAACACATTTTTTTTTTTCTTTTTTTTTAGACGGAGATGCAACGCTTTCCCACATAACAAAATTGCATCCTTAGAATGTATTAAGAATGTTCTTTTTTTAGGAGGAATGTTCCTAGAATGTTCGCCAAAACCCTTGCGAATGTCCTGAGAATGTTCTGAGAAAAGATTGTAGAAATACTGTTTACAATACCCAAGAACTTCCTGAGAAATCCATTAGGATATTCCTAGAATATACCTATGAGATTCTCAGTACATCCTGAAAAGAATATTCTCGTTTGATTCTAAAAATATGCTTGATATGTATAGGTATTCTCACATTCAAAGAATGTTTCTATGACATTATAGTTATGTTCTCAAAAGAATATTATACCAATATGCTTGAAATATTCTTGGAATATATCTACATATATCATTCTCAATATGCATCCTAGACATAACATTCTTGGTTGATTCTAAGGATATACTTGGAATGTTAATTTTCGCTTCCAAATAATGCTCCTTTCAGCCCTTTTATATTAAAGGCAGTAAAACAGTTGTTCTCTTCTCTGGAAAACACAAGTATTTAACCAAAGCTCCGGTTTCGAGCTTGTTATGCTCTGGTCGAAGCACGCCAACTGAGAGAAACAGGTTCCAAGGTGATTCAAACGCAAGGTAAGATGTAGATCTTTAATAGCGCGTGGCTCCCTCTCTTGGAAGTCCTACAAAGCAAAAGGAAAAGAATATACCTACAATATTCTTAGTAGGTTCTAGATAGAGCATTATTGTTTAATTGTTAAATTATGATTTTTGAGTAGGTACTTCAGATAATTAGGTGAACAATATAAAAATATTCTTATCATGGTTACCTACCTACATAAACTTCTCAGCACAACTTGGTTGGTATATTCTTAATACTTGATAGAGATATTAGCCGAAAGAACATTTTTTAGGGTACATTATAATAATGTTCGTATGACAATATTCAAAGATTGTTATACAAAGTAGGTTCTTAGCACAATCTTTCAGGTAGGTGCATAGAAGCAACATTCCTAGTACATAAATAGAACGTTCAAAAATGAATATTTCAATCGAAACAATCTTAGAATATTCATTAAACATTCCTAAAAGAACATTCCAAAAAGCACTTTGAGGGAATATTCTGAGAATATGAATGTTCTTTCACTGTTATGTGGGTTGAAATGTGCTTATTTTTGATATCCTATGACGTCACTCTATGCTGAGTATATCTATGTATACAAAACTTAATCTTTGTATAACTTTCGGAATTTTCATATTTGGACAAAGACAAAATAAAAAAATACGTATGGATTTTTTTCCGATTTCCTACAGTTTGCAATAAACAGTTATCAATTTAATTTTTCATGCTATTGCGCGCTCAACGTGGATACGTTCATGGGCAACCTTACGAATCCATGCCACTTCAGCTTCACTGAATAACAACAGCCCTGTTATGCGCAATGTTGGTACGGCCATGGATATCTCCTGGTTAAAGCATCAGCGTTTCAACTTTCCTCTTACGGATGTGAATAAAACCAGATTGTTCGACAATGTTCTTGTCGGATAATAAACCCGTAAATAATGGAGACCCATTAGGGTCATTATAAGTGACTTCAAAGTGGTACAGCCTTTGTAGTTGAAAAAACATTGACTTTGTTTAATCAATGAGGATGGTGTTTCAATGGCAATTTCCGTACAGTTAATGCTTCCCACCACATTTTTATACTGCTGTTGGCTCGCCAAGGGTGCATTTTTCAATAAAATGTCGCGATGAGGCCACATATTAAGTTGGCCCAACCGCACATACATGAAATTTATCCAATTAAGGCATATTTTACCAGCAGTAGCCTTCGACAAATTGAAGGATGAAGGATAACTTGTATTTCTTGGTTTGTGGGGAGCGCACTTCCTTATCAACATTAACATCCTTCAATTGGCCAGATGGTAAGATAAATCGGAACAAAGCAACAAAGACCCCA